GGGGGGGGGGGGGGGTAGTGTTGGGAGGAACAGAGGCTTCTGCCACATGGCCCAGCTGGGCTTGTCACAGACCTGAGCTAACACAGAATCTACCCCCATCGCTACCTGCCCCCAGCCAGCTCTCAGATGCAGCCTGGGGTGGCGGTGGAGGGGGCATGGAGGCTTCTGCTCCATGGATCTGGCTGCCAGGTGGAGGTTTCTACTGCATGGACACAGCATCCAGTCAGGAGCAGCCTGGATGCTTGAGTGTGCTCAGCAAGCTTTGGCAGCCAGAGAAGCCTAAGATCTGTGCGGGATTGCCCCCAACCTGCTGGCCTTGGCCAGTGCATGCAGCCTGAGTGCCCCCAACCCCAAAGGGTGAACATGTGTTCTGTTCACTACCAAACTAACCTAAGCTGCTTAGAAAAAAGTGTCACTTAGATTGATTCTTCCTTGGGTTTTTTGAATGTCTGTACATAACTCAAGACTCCCAGGAGGGGATTGAATTCTGGTGCCCAATGCTGCAGCTGATGCGGGATGGTTAGACAATGGTATTTAGATATTTGCTTTTGCAAACTAGCTTGTAGGTAAAGTAGATATGCATTAGGCTGATGGTCTAAGGTAACAGCAAGGGTTACTTGATTTCTAAAAGCCTGTTTCTAAAATTTTCCTGAAGGTCCACTGTGTCTGACAGGCAAGCAGCAAACAGATGCACAGGCTGGGAAATTCAAGACATGTGCTGTTCCATAACATGAGATAAGGTGGCACCAGGTCACAGTGCCTAAGTGCAAAGCCCTTGGGATTTCTGGTTTTGAGAGAACAGACCACATTAGGAGGACACCAGTAAAGACCAAATTAGGATGTATGCACATGATGGGTTTGTGAAACAAAGGGATATGCTGACAGGACAGAATGTGGGCAGTATGACAACCATAGAGAGACCAATCAGCGATGCCTAAGATAAAAAGTCATCAGAAGGGTACAAAAGGAGGGATTTCAGAGCAAAGGATCCCCAAGAGGGGGACCCAAAGCCACTATGGACAGAGGGCATACCACCAGCCCAACTCACCTGCCCCACTGGGCTCGGACTATAACCTCCAGTCTGAGGGCTTTGGGTCTGCCTGGAACAAGGGAGCTGGGTCAAATCCAGTGCCAACAATGTGCAGTGAGCTGTCTCTTTAGCTGCATCGGCAACTGCTGCCAGAGTGCGGAGCCAGCCGGGGGACACCTCTCCCCTTCTGTCCCCACTCTGCAGTGGTTGTCATTCTTCCCAGGATACCTGCAGGAGCTCACTATGCCTCTGCTATGGTGCAAAGAGTTTCTTCCTTGAGGGACATTTTTTAAGGGGGTAGT